CCCACCACTCCGAGCCATAGTGGGTGTCAGTGGGGGTGCCCGTCCTGTCTCCTGCACCCCTGGACTCTGGGGACGAGAGTGGGACTTGGGAGTACCTGCTGTGCTGAGTGCTCTGGGCCAGTACTCCAGCCCTTCGACTGCGCTGTCTGCCCTCTGCTCTGCCCGGCCCTGGCGCCCCTTCCCAGGGCAGTCCTGGGTGTGTGGTAGGACGCAGTGCAGTAGGAATCGCTGTTGCTCACATCAGCAGAAGTGCAGCGGCAGCTGGACTCACCGCTGCCTGGTACCCTCTCCTGTGGCGGCAGGCTGGGCCTGGGTGCGGGGGAGGCAGAGCCCATGCCACTCACCCCTCGACCCGTTTGCCTCAAAACCCTCGGGTTTGCCTGCAAGTCGGAGGGTCTCAGAGTACCTAGCATGGGGCACGGGAAAGGCCGTGAGCAGGAGCTAGTGTGGAACACGCGTGCATGCACGTGTGCCGGGCTCTGCAGGCTGGGGTGCTGGAGAAGTGAAGCAGGCCCTGACCATGCCCCAGAGGCCGCTGTCTTGTCCTCGTGAGCACTCCGTGTGCAGTCCGCTGCCGTGTGGCCGCTATGCCGCCTCCTAGCGTAGCTGTGTTAGCCAGTGCCTCCTTCCCTAGCCAAGAAGTGGACCTGGGCCCGAGCGCTCCCCCTCCTGGGTCTCTCTCCTCTCTGTATCACTCTACTGAGCGCTAGGAGCTCTGTGCCCTGTCGCCCGCTCTCCCTCCTCCGGAGCCCACTCCTCCCGGCCTCACCCCTGCCCTCCCAGCCTGCTCCCCAGGTAGGACCCCAGTGAGCTCCACATCGTCAGGGAGGGCTGGCGCCGGGGCTCCATCGTACCAGACCTTCCTGCAGTATTTGGCACGGCTGTCCCCTCCTTCCCTGGGCTGCCAGGACGCCACCCCCTGGTTTCCTGCCCCCTTCCTGTGCCCATTCCTCCCTCAGTCCTCAGCCCACGTCTCTGCTCTTTCCATTCCCATTCACTTTCCTGTGACCTTGTCCATCCCCGGGCACGGAGTCCCACAGCCGTCCCTCTGTGAGGTCCAGGGCACGTGTCCACATGGTGTCCGATGGAGGTCACGGTCAAGCTTGTCCCAGCCCAGCTCTGGGGTGCTATTCTGTTGCAGGGTCTGTCTGGGGTGCGCGTCTGTTGCAGGGTCTGTCTGAGGTGCTCTTCTGTTGCAGGGTCTGTCTGGGGTGCTCTTCTGTTGCAGGGTCTGTCTGAGGTGCGCGTCTGTTGCAGGGTTTGTCTGAGGTGCGCGTCTGTTGCAGGGTCTGTCTGGGCTGCTATTCTGTTGCAAGGTCTGTCTGGGCTGCGCATCTGTTACAGGGTCTGTCTGGGGTGCGCGTCTGTTGCAGGGTCTGTCTGGGGTGCTATTCTGTTGCAGGGTCTGTCCGGGGTGCGCATCTGTTGCAGGGTCTGTCCAGGGTGCTCCTCTGTGCAGGGTCTGTCCGGGGTGCTCTTCTGTTGCAGGGTCTGTCTAGGGTGCGCGTCTGTTGCAGGGTCTGTCTGAGGTGCGCGTCTGTTGCAGGGTCTGTCTGGGGTGCTATTCTGTTGCAAGGTCTGTCCGGGGTGCTCTTCTGTTGCACGGTCTGTCCGGGGTGCGCGTCTGTTGCAGGGTCTGTCTGGGGTGTGCGTCTGTTGCAGGGTCTGTCCGGGGGGCTGTTTCTGTCTGGGGTGCTATTCTGTTGCAGGGTCTGTCTGGGGTGCTCTTCTGTTGCAGGGTCTGTCCGGGGTGCGCGTCTGTTGCAGGGTCTGTCTGGGGTGCTATTCTGTTGCAATGTCTGTCTGGGGTGCCCGTCTGTTACAGGTCTGTCCGGGGTGCGCGTCTGTTGCAGGGTCTGTCTGGGGTGCCCGTCTGTTACAGGGTCTGTCTGAGGTGCACGTCTGTTGGAGGGTCTGTCTGGGGTGCTCTTCTGTTGCAGGGTCTGTCTGGGGTGCTATTCTGTTGCAGGGTCTGTCCGGGGTGCTCTTCTGTTGCAGGGTCTGTCCGGGGTGCGCGTCTGTTGCAGGGTCTGTCCGGTGTGCGTGTCTGTTGCAGGGTCGTCTCGCATGCTCTTCCCTCTGCAGAGGTGCCTCCCTCACTCCTGCCAGGCCCTCATTCACGTGCTACTGTCAGTGAGGTGTTCCTGACCCCTACTTAAAATGAACCCCTTCACTTCTCTTTTAGGCTTCATTTTAATCCACAATTATTCTTTACACTTTTTTTTTTTTAAGTTTTTGCCTTAGGTCATCGTGTGCTTACCAGAGAAAGACAGACAGTGAGAGGGAAAGTGAGAAATGACCCCCAGGGGCATGGCCATGCTGCAGTCCTTTCTCCATTCTCCCAGGCTCTTGGGCACACACACACACACCCAGCATGATTTTGGAGTTCCCAGGTCCGGGACTTGAACCACATCAGCTATGTGGGAATCCGGCGACATAACCACCACGCCATCTGCTGGCCCCTTTATCCGCAGTTATTTTCTAATGCCTTTTACTGTTCACACCTTCATTTTACTGACTTTCCTACTAGAAGTACTCCGTTAGGGTGGGGTTTTCTGCCTTCTTTGTGCACCGAGACCAGCGTCTGATGTGGCAGGCCCTGGTAAGTACCTGCTGGGTGAGCGGATGACTCCAGGGAGAGACACTTCCCCTCTTGTTCCCACAAGCAACTTGAGGCCCAGGCGTGGAGCCTGTGAGGGCTGTGTGGCGGCGTGTGGAGGAGCTCGGCCCTCCCCAGCCTGTGCTCTGACCACTGCTCTGCTGGGCCACTGAAGCTCATGGTGGGGGCACTGCGGGAGCGCCGGCCGCCACCGGGGCTGGCAGGAGGAGTGATGTACTCATCCGTGTGGGAAGCACAGCGCCAGCTGACAGCGGGGAGGCTTAGTGGCAGTAGGGGGAGGGACAGGACGTGGGGAGGTGGAGAGGTGGGCAGGGCCTGGGGTGGACTTTGGACTTGGTCCTAGAGATCCAGCGGGAAAAGTGGAAGAAGTGGAAGGAGCAGGCTTGGCTGGAGACCAGGCACTCACAGTAGGACATCAGCGGGGACACTGGGAGAGGGACCAGGTGTCTCCTGAGCTCAAAGCAAGGGCCGGGTAGGGACCCAGTCATTTAAGGTCCTTAGTGAATGGTGGTGCATGTCAGGCGGGCGGCCCGGGTGAGCCCCACTGCTCCGTGCCCTCAGTGGCTGGGCTGGGCCAGGCCATGTGGCTGGGGCCTGGGACGTCAGTAACATGCCACAGATAGAAGCTGGGACTGAGTTTGTGCCTCGGGCTCCCCCAGCAGAATGCCGCTATTGCCTTAGGTCACCAGGCTGTGTGCTGGGAGGCCGGGGGAGGACAGGCAGCCTAGCCAACAGTCCTAGCCAGCTACCAGACGTGGGCAAGGCCACTGTGGACCTTCCAGGTGGCCACACCCCCTAGGGGCCCCAGTAAGACAGCGCGGGAGCAGCCCAGCTGAGCCCCGCCCATGTCATAGGGTCGTGAGCGGAGCATGGTGCTCTCAGCCATGGGACTGGGTGGTCGCTATAGCAGAGGAGCCTGATTGGGTGTGGGGGCTAGGGTACTCCCAGAGGCACCTGCTGTCTCCCACCCTAATGAACCTGCCTGCTTTTTTTTTTTTTTGGAGAGGTTTTTGCTATAGGGCACATGTGCTCGCCAAAA